CTACTCCAAATATATATATATATATATATACATATTAATCCCAATTCTCAAAAAAATTAAAGTCTTAAAAAAATTAAAGTCATAATATTATATTATAATATTAAAATACATTGTTTTATAATTACAACTTAATTTAAAAATTAAAATTTTATCTTATTAAATATTAATATTTAAATTTAAAAACTAATTAGATTTTTAAATTTTGAATTAAGATTTTAATTTTTAAATATAGATTAAAACTCTAATTTTATTTAAAAATTAGACTAATATGCACAAATCTCATGTGTATATATATAGTTTCTTAGTTACTAAAAATATCCTTCTACTATCTGTTGAAAAAGATAAGAGCAATGCCAAGGTATGTATGTATCCTCCTTCAATTGGCTAAAGTTAAATTGTTCCACTGTTTGAGGAATCCATAAAGGGGCTTGATGCTACAGTTAAGAGTGATACTGAAACGTACCAAAGTGGAACAATGGGCTCTTTCCATCCATGAGGAAGCAGACTGATCATATCAAGCGAACATACGATTAATAGGATCAAGACACAGATTACTCTAACATCAAATTTATACAAACTACTCACTGATGTTATTCTTCACGTGAGAATGTGAATATAATTAGGTAATTAGCATAAAGGTTTTCATGCAAAGATATGCTCTAATTGCAACTCATCCTAGGCTAGAACTGCATTTTTATCATCGAGGATTAATTAATTACTACTGCTGCACACAATGATTCCCTCAATCATCCAATTTATGCACTTCTCTTCTTACTCTCCTTACTGCAAACAGACACCATGAACTGCCCCTTTCTTTTAAAACATCCTTCCTTTTTCCTGTTTTCTCTCCCTTTCTATCAAATGGAACTCAACACTTATTCCTTCCTCTTTCTGTTTCTAATTTTTCTGTCCTATCCTTCCCAAGACATTGGAACTGACCAGTCTCAGTTCTTCACCCTCATGAAATCTTCTCTGTCAGGAAATGCTTTGTCCGATTGGGATATTCTTGGAGGGAAGTCTTATTGCAATTTCACAGGAATTAGCTGCAATGATAGAGGGCATGTTGAAAAGATTAACATGTCTGGATGGTCAGTTTCTGGCAATTTTCCAGCCGATATATGCTCATATCTGCCAGAGTTGCGCGTTCTTGATCTCAGCCAAAACCAACTCGGTGGAAATTTCATTAACAGCATTGCCAATTGCTCTTTCTCAGAAGAACTCAACATGAAGCGTATTCACCTAAGAGCAAAACTTCTAGATTTCTCCAAAATGAAATCTCTGCGTGCACTTGACATCTCATACAATCTCTTTATAGGTGATTTTTGTTGAAGAATTTTCAAAATATTTTCAGGATTTGAGTTTGAATCACAAAAAGTTGGTTTGAAGCAAATGCACAAACTGCATGTGAGAAACTGTAATTTTGGTTCGAACCATATAATTATGATTTGAACCATTTACATAAAACCAGAATCCAGAAAGTTACGATTTTAATTCAAATCACATTTATCTGGTTTGAACCATTTACGTAAAAAATTAGAGATAGAATTCTGATAAGTTTCTGAAGAAAATGGATAACTTTAGAAGGCAAGAAAACATGTGAGTTGGAATTCAAATCAAACCAAATGACTTTTGGAAGAGTTTCTAACGGATAAAAATTGAAAAGAAGTATTTGTTCCCAACAGACATCTTGAAAAGAAGTGTCTATTCCAAGAGACATCTTGCCCTATAAATATGGAGTTATCTCTTCTTCTTTGATAGAGTCTATTTGAACCCAGAAATATCTAAATAAAATAGCCCCTTTTTGTATTGTGATTGCTCGAGAAATCCCTATACAAAAACTATTGTTTTGTTGCTTTCCAAAGGATGGTTTAGTGGTTGATCTTGCTAGTGCAAAGGCTAGATCAACAAGGCGCTTTGATGCACTAAAATCACCCTAGCAAATGTACTAGTCGCTCCAAGTAATATAATGATGAGAAGAATGTCGAATCCATGAGGATTGTGTTTAACTAAGTACCAAAATAATTAATCTAAATTTATTTGAACAACCAAATGGGAAGAAAGTTTAATTAAAAATAATAAAAAGAAAATAACAAATAAACCTAACCAAGATAGGAGGTACTAAGACATTGATTTCACCATAATCAATTAATATAAATTCTGGATTAATATACTTTCAAAACCAAATTGTTGAGTGTTATTGCATGTGATGGCGGATTTCCCTAAATTAATTAACTAGCTTTCTCAAGTCAAGTTAATCCTTCACTTGTTTGTTAAATTAATCATATCTCTATGTAATTTTAAACAAATTTATGAGCATTAAATTCTATGAAAACCTCTAGCTTAAGAAGGGGGAGCTCCTAACTCTCTTCTCTTCCTCCACTACCACATGTGAGCTAATTACCTCTCGGTCTCATAGTCTAGCACACGGTTTATATTATTATTGGTCTAATCTATGCAATTCTTTCTCAAGTTCATGCATAAATCACTAAATCAATTGAAAGGTGATCAGACTTTCAATGCATTAAGTTCAATAATATAAACTCCTTATGCAAATAACTTTAATTGAAAACATAAAATCACAAAATCTATATTGAATTGATTAGGTTACATCATAACCCTAGTAGAATAAATCAGTTCATAATAAAAATAATAAAATCTGAAATCACAATTATGAGCATAAGAATGTCTAAGGAAAAATAAAACCTAATTTGAGGTAACTGAAATCTTTGATCTTCTCGTTAATGGATCTTCTATCTTGACCTCCAAGAGTGCCCAAAAGAGGGCTGCCACCAGCCTCCCAAAGCTCCCTTAATTCTGAATTTGGATGGATATTTATAAGATTTTAGAAACCCTAATTGAAATAGAAGTAGGACTTGGAATAGAAATAGAAAACTGAATTTTGGATGCTGATCGCGTGGTGCTGATACTTCGGATTACTTGTTGACACAAAATAGGAAACAGAATCTAATTCTGGACGTTTAACGCATGGTGTCGACACCCCGATCATGTGTCGACACTACACCCGTGTCGGGTTTCTGGTCTTCTTTTGCAATTTCTTCGATGGTAAAATAGCAGATTTGGTTCCTGACTTTTGGATTCTGCACAAGTTGATCCTCAAGTCTCTGATCTCTTCAATTTACTTCTAAAAAGTAGGATTTCTTCCAATTAAATCCTTTCCTATACAAAGAATGACAACCATGTAAAATCAAACAAAATCCCATAAAACTCATCCAAATATTAATAATATCAAAGTAAAAATTCCCTATTAATATGTATATAAATTTAGCGCATCACGCTTCATTGTATCCTATGGGCATTTCGGGTTACCCCTTTTGCATACCAGATCTGGTGGGGGCGAAATTAGCCTAAAGAAAAGTGGCATTTGTAGCACGTCTTGAAGCCAATGATCTAATGATCTATTTTCTAACCCCCTATTTATCCAACAATCTTTAGGCTAAATTTTTCAGTTTTTTGAGATCATGGCTTACTGGATAATTGAGAAGAAACTTGCGTTACAAAATGCATGTAAAGCCAGGGAGTTTTAGCGTGTGATAGTTACAAAAGGAAAAGGGATTTCTAGTGTGATTAACCCATCTACAAAAGTGGTGGTTTATTAAATTGATTATAGCAATCGTGTGACAAAGCAATCGTGTAATCAAATTGTCAATGAGTGATAGTGGATGAATCAACCACAGGATGCAAATAAAGTTTTTGAATTATAAGGTGATGATGATGCATGATATCAATGCAAAAGGAAAACAAAGTGCAAACAGATTGAAACTCAATACAGGAGGAATAGGTACGTACAATAAGTTTATGCTCTTGATTGGCATGAATTTTTCATATGATTTTGTTTTGCAAACAAATTTTGAGTGGGTTTATAAAGAAAAAAAACAATGCTCATGATTTAAATACATGAGTTAGTTTTAGAAATTAATGCTTCAAGTTTGAGTGATGGTTTCATATCATTATCTATCAAATCTCTTTGAATGAAACATTGCATTTAGTGATATTGTTTTACAGGCTGTTTCTCCAAGCTTATCTCTTGTATCTATTTAATTAAATATTAGGAGAAAACATCTCCTGGAGAATGGCTTCAAAGAAGTTATCAAAGATGCAAATGAATGTGCAAAGATTCATAATTAAACGTCATTTGGCACAATGAAGCAAGAGAAATAAAATGGGTCTTTAAATCCCATTTGGAGGCTAAATAAAATCTCAGACTTGATAGCATGGTTCTTGGCTGTGAGAAGGAAGATATTTATGGATTTGAATATGATCATGTTTTAAGATCATGATTGTGCCTTGATTTTGAGATTACTAATGTGATAAAAATAAAATTATGTTTTTCTTTTCATTTAGTAATGATTATTTACTATTCTTTGATGAATACTTATGAAGCTTTATAGAGTTTAAGTAGTATATCTTACTCCTAGACCTGATCTTATTAAGGTTTGCTTAAGGCTTATTAAAGTTAATGAGATTTCCTTTACTTTTATGTTATAAGCATGTTTATGTATATGACGGTTTTGTTAAAACCATTGAGTTTTGTACATGTGTTAAACATGATTACTGTTTTTAATATGAGGCTTGTGGAAATATAAGAGGTTAATGAATCTGGCCATGTTTTATTTATGAAAGGTTGCTTAAAGCATATTTCTACTTGTTACTTTTGATGCCCTTTATTTATGCTTGTAAGATTATATACCAGCATATGAATATTGAAACAAGTGAGAATCAAGTCTCATGATGGTTCTTTAGCCATGTTGAAGAAAGAAATCCTAAAATGAGATTTGGCAAACCTTTTTAGAGATCCAATTGGTGATCTTAGTTTGAATATAAATAAAGAGACGAGAGACCAAGTGAAAAGGCTCTCAGTTTTGATAAGTCATGAAGGATTTTGAATCGTTGTTTAAATGCTCTGTCTTAATGAGATAATTTGTAGAAACTAGTGCAACCTTGTGCACTTGATTGATTTTTGGAAGCCTAGAAAGATGGTCCAAAAGATAAAGAAATATGGATTTAAAGAATCCTATAAACAGCAAGAATGAATACCTCTTGGTCATGGAAAATGAATCTAATGATTTGAGTTGTTCCAGAATTTTTGGTTCAAACCACTCAAAGATGATTCAAACCAATTACGTAGGAAACTCAAAAAGTATCAAGAAGATTTGAAACATTTTTAACTGTCCTAATATGTCTCTCATAAAGAATGTTAATGTCATAAAATTGAAATGGTGGGAACAATCCCAGGAGTGAGAGGAATAAGGACTAAAAGTCCTTGACAAATGAAAAGCAAATAAAAATTAAATTTGAAAGTGGAGGAAGCAAGAATTCCACTTGTTCATGGTATTACAATTTTATAGGGAACTGTTTAAAAGTGATAGTACTTGTTCTTAGAGATGTCTACACTTTTCAAGAGTTCATATTAATCTAAGACATTCTTATATGAATGTGTATGATGACTAAAAATAATACGATGTCATCAAGTGCTTATAAAGAAGTCTATATGACAGTAGACTTGTTATCATAAATGTAGACACGGAAATAATCAATTCTTATAAGAGGTGATCACCATAATCTTTGCAAAGTCTTGTGTGAATTAACTTCATGAATCCTTGATTAAAAGGATTATCCAAAGGAAAATTTGCAAGACAAAGAGAGGGATGGGTCTCAAGTCCATTGACAAAAGTCACATGTGATGGAACCTCGACTTAACGCTTGATAAAAACATCAAGTCTTGAGTTCATTGAGTAAAGTACATCATATGAATGTGACTGCAAGTACTCAATTTATTAATAATACCATCCCAAGTGGAAGAGTACTTGGTAACCACATGAAATAAAAGGAGGTTAAGTTTTACTCTTAATAGGTCTTATAACAGATTTCTATTAAAGTGCTTAATGTGGTGGCACTTTTGATGGGATCTACCTATATGAGTGGAAGTGGTGCCGCTTCTAGGAGTTAGGGACTTGACTCTAACAGCACTCATGAAAAGGATACAGGACACATCGCCAGTTTTTGTGTCGGTGGATGCTGAATTCCTTCTTTGGAAAGCATGAAGTCTTGTGTGTGATATGTGCACAATTAGTCACTTAGAATCGCTGGTTCAAAGCATTAGTCTACCATGCAATTCTGACTAATTTGCCAACACATGTTCACTAAGTGAAAGGTTCAAATCGTAAGATACCTTCATGTATGCATAAGATTTCCAAAACAATTGGTGGGCTGTTCTATTTTGAAAATGGTGGGGGAATGTTGAAGAATTTTCAAAATATTTTCAGGATTTTGGTTCAAATCACAAAAAGTTGGTTCAAAGCAAATGCACAAACCGCATGTGAGAAACTGTAATTTTGGTTCGAACCATATAATTATGATTCGAACCATTTATGTAAAACCAGAATTCGAAAAGTTACGATTTTAATTCAAACCACATTTATCTGGTTCGAACCATTTACGTTAGAATTCAGGGATAGA